CGGGGTATGGCGGTAGGGTATGGCGGCGGCGGTAGGGTATGAAGAAAGGCAGGGAGGGAGTAGGGAAGGACGGGAAGAAGAAGAAGAGGAGAGAAGAAGACCTAGCGAATGAAGAAGAAGAGGAGAGAAGAAGACCTAGCGAATGAAGCAGAAGCAGAAGAAGAAGAAGAAGAAGAAGAAGAAGAAGAAGAAGAAGAAGAAGAAGAAGAGAGGTGAGGAGGGGAAGAAGAAGAAGATCAAGAAAGGTCGAGGAGAAAGATAAAAACGCGAGGGGGAGGAGGGTAAGAAGAAGAAGATGAGAGGACGGCGAGGAGAGAAGGAGGAGGAGAAGAAGAAGATTAAGCGGAGAAGCAGGGGGAGGAGGACAGCCTTCTTTTTTTTTCCACCTGTCGTGTCTCACGTGACCTACCGAATGTTGACGAACTAGAAGATGAAGAAGAAGAAGGAGAAGGAGAAGAAGAAGGAGAAGAAGAAGAAGAAGAGGAGGAGGAGAAAGAAAACGAGTGGAGGAGAAGGGGAAGACGATGAATAAGAAAGGTTGAAGATGAAAATGCGAGGGGGACGAGGGGAAGATGAAGAAGACGAGAGGAGGAGAAGGAAGAGAGAAGAAGAAGAAGAAGAAGAAGAAGAAGAAGAAGAACGGCACCTTCGTCGTAGCAGCAGCATTAGGACAGTCGGGGCCTTCGTCGCAGCAGGAGCAGCAGCAGGACAGTAGGGACCTTCGTCGTAGCAGCTGCAGCAGGACTCTCGATGGCGATGGCGACGGGCGACGGCGCAGGAACAACTCCGATCGTGCTGGGGGGCGAGTGGCCGACCACCCCAGCCGATCCCAGGTTTGAACGGGGGAAAGTTTGGCGCCTAGATCCACCGGCTCTGTGGCCGTCGATCATGGTGGATCGACGGCCACAGAGCCGTCACAATTTTTCAAAAATCCCACAGGCCTACCGGGTTCGACGGGACGGTTTTTCAGGCCGATTGGACCTGGTAGGCCTGCGGGAGGCCAACAGCAGCGAAAAGGGGGTCCGAGACCCCCAGACAGGTGAGTGCACTGGGGGGACCCGGCCCCCAACCAGGTGCCCTGCCCGGCCAGGCCGGCCGGGACCTCCCCCGGGCCCCCGCCAGTCAGCCGGGCGGCCCAGATCCCCACCCAGGAAAAAGCCTAAAAAGCCTAAAAAAGGGACATTAAGAATCTAGAAGTGGAGTCCTTTGGGACATCTGTTAAAATCGGAACGATACAGAGAAGGGTAATTACTGATTAGCATGGCCCCTG